TGAAGTCGTAAAATGATCGACCTACTGAACCAGACCTTTTTTGTATTATTATACCTTATTTGTCATAGATCCTATTGATTACTTCTGTGTAAAAATCCCAAATAGGGATCAGATTGCTTGAGTCAAGTAAGATGCAATTACCGTATAGACTGTAATTTTTTTGGACAGTATAAAAATCTAAAAGAAATTAATTAATATGAGATCAAAAACTATAAAGTATTAATAGACTTAGTTAGAAAAAAACACTAACATTTGAGATTCTGAGCTGAAGTATAGTGAACTATAGAGGTTTTACAATGGTGTTTATTTTATTTTATTTTTTTTATCTTGTATACAAAATGTATACCAGAAGGAGTGATTTGATTTCAACATAATATAGTATCTTATCTTTTAGCAAATTGGATCAAATTGGTACTTTAGAGAGGTAATTTTTTGATTTTCTGTACAGCAGACATCCACTCACCCGATTTTTATTTTTCAGTTTGAATTATAACTATTTTCGGTGATATTTAGTTAAAATGTCTATACATATTAAGAGGAAGTGTAACCCGCATGTGTTGTCTCTGTCTTACAAGTGCGTAACATAGCAACTTCTACTCAACTCAAAACATGTGTAGCTCCATTAATTTAAAAATCATAGTAAATTAAACTCTTATAAAAGACAACCTCATATGCTTTTTATAATATTTTAATTTTTAATCTAGTTATGAGTACTTTAAGATCTATAAACAATTTACAATTTTAAAATACTCATATCTCGCTTAAAAATTAAAATATAATAAAAATCCCATGAGGTTGTTTAGATAATAATCTTACCTTTAGATTTTATAAGAGGCCAATTCACTCTAATTTTTAAACTAACGGAGCTACACGTGTTCTGCGTTGCGTAAAAGTTGCTATGTTACGCACTTGTAAGACGGAGACAACACATGCGGGTATTACGTCCTCTTAAGATGTTTAGGATGAATACTTGTTTCAACGCTAATACGGATAAGCAGGAATAGCTATTTCAATATAGGTACTCAATCATAATTCATAAGAGAAATATTGTATCTCATAAAATACAAAAATTATACAATTAACATTTGGTCATCCTTGAATTTCATAATAATTGGTATCTTTACTGACACTCTGGCACGCTCGCCATCTGTATTCAAATGACTTACAGACCGTAATAGTATCTACCTATATATATTATTAATACTGATATTTCAAACGTTAATATAAGCAATAATTAGTATAAATTACCACGTTTATTGTTCCACTCCCGTTGCCAAGTCCTAATTACACAGTTGCGCCTGATAATGTAATTATTATAACAAATCAGAATATTATAACGATTAACGGTTACAAGCATTACGGAATACAGTTGGTGTGTCATCGATTCAATAGGTACTGCGATCGTAATATCGCATATTTTAGTAAACGGATGTTATATTGAAATCATGTTTAGCGGAGCGGGAAAAGCCTCTATACTGAAATACAAAATTTTGGAAATTTGGTTTTTATAATTTCCTGAAAACCGTTGTTGTTGTATCTAGAATGGAAGATCTGGTTTGTTTTTTGAAACCAGAAATAGTGGTCGACCTGCAGTGCTATTCCTCTCACGAGCAATGACTCTGTTTCCATACCTACTATATTTCAAATAAATTTCCACTTACCATCCCGGTACAATTCATAGTGTAAATAAAACAAAATACATAATAATAATAATCGACATTTCTCAGATTCCCATACCATATACTTCTATCTTCAGTTTAACATATAAACCGTTTACATTATAAAACATACAAATTGTACCATAAGATATATTATCATTTTGCGCCCATACGATTTTCAATCGACCAATGTGAATTTGCTCTCTCGTCGTGCACAGTGCGTGTGCGTGTCGTACATTATAATAATGTGCATGTCGTATACTCGAATAATATAAGTTGGCAGTAGATAAAAAAAAAATACAGACAAAACAAATGGTTTTCCGAAAAAATTCTCTGGGAAATGCCGTCACGTAATAGATTTGATTCTGACGTGCCGTCGTCAGCTTAACCGTCCGAACTCGAGCTTTGAAATTAGGTTCGCGTCAATTATTCCAGAAAAAATTCCTATCTGGTCGCTTTAGAACGATATTATAAAAGTAACATAGTCATATAATATATAACATAGGGAGACGATAATCAACACGTAATATGTTTGGACGGTTAAAATTGTATATACAGATAGGGTGAATATACCTAACTAAAAAGTAAAAATTGTATCTTTTACCTAGATAAAGATTTCGTGAAAGTGTCGTGTATTCAAAATGTTTAATTAAAAAACAATGAAAGGTACGTTAAAATAATTCTGTATTTTTTTTTATAATGTACTCGTTAAAACTTCAAAATTAGTTTTGTATAGTGATTTTATTGATTATAATAAATTAATGGAATATAAAAATTGAAATACAATTTTTAAAAAAAACACATATTGCGATTTTTTCTCACGATGATTTTTGAATACATGACTTTTACCAAACAATTTGGGATCATGACGTGAAAACAGTTTACTTTAATATTCAATCTGGTATTATCATTGTATGTTTTGTCTCCATCTTACTAAGGTACAACATATTACACTTCTAAAATGTTTACAACTCACTTTAAAATTGAATTATCAATGAAAACCCTGCTTTGCAATTCCCTTTTAAATAGTAATAGATTACTTTTAAATTCGATAATATGTTAATTTACCCTAATGCTAATAAACACAAAGTTGGTTTTGTTTAACATATTATTTGTTATGTTGTAACTTGTAAGTTTGTAAGACGGAGGCATCACAGCAGGAACTGAGTCGTTTTATAAGACACATATTAAGATAATTTCGTGTAAATTCATTAATAACCTGATGTAGACATCTTGCATATTACATATTAGTTATTACCTACATATTACAACTAATAAAAGCTCTAAAATGTTTACAAAAAATTTACATTTGTGTACATCATAATTTAAAATATCGAGAATTTTTTAGACAATAACTATTGTACTAATTATGGATCTTTGTACTTTATCTTGTGTCTTGGATATCCTCTATTTTTTAATTCTAAAAGTCTTTAATTCTATCATGGATCAAGACACATTTTTCTTTCTGCCCTAGGTGTGGTAATAAAACTTAACGATGTAGATTGCCGCGATATCGTCTACCAAACGAGGGTTGTGAGTGGACATTTTAGAGAAAACGTCGCCTTACGACTGGATTTTTTTCTTATTGGTAATGGCTATATATTATAATACGCACGATAGCAGCAATTCTTACTTAGATCTTCACTCGACCGAGGTTTATTCGCACACGCATACGAGTAGTTAAATATATATACATCTCATATACACTCGTATAATTTTATATATTATTATGTATATATTACGCCGTTGTTGCGTATGTATATATGAAAGTTCCGTTCTTTTCGCGCGAAATCCCGTAATGGAATATATACGACTGTGTGCACGTCGTATTATACGACTGTTGGTGAGGGATGGGGTTGTGGAAATGCACTTTGCGGGGACAGAGAAAATATATGTTTTTCGCACACTCGATAATATGTAAAATTCTTACGGAGGACAATGTCAGCGCAGACAATATTCCACTTGCCCGCACGCCACACCGCAGCTCACACTCTGCTTAATGCGGTTTGTCAATAACACCTATATGGCTATATTCACACATATATTACTGGGGCATGTATATATCTATTATATTTATAAAAAAGGATATCAAACCTATAATGCGAGTGCGATTCACACGGGCACATTATGCCGATAAAGTCTATTTGAAATCAGTGATTCTGACACTTCAGCGCCGTCTGTCACGTACACGTCTGGACCCGATGCTCAAACACCACCACGATCATATTATTATTATTATTATTATATTCATCTTTATATTTATGTTATTATTGTCGTCGTCGTATTCTTATTCGCACGATATTACACGGGAGGTTCGAATAATATAACCAGCTACGACCTACGCCACGCGTATGACATTATATTCTAGCAGGTTTGGTCGGATGGAAAATAATAATATCATAATATCGTACAGTCGTCAGAATTTCTCAGTGTCACATCGCAACAGGCTATTACAATATTCACATGGTAGCAATAGTGATCCGTTAGACGTCTTATTATTCGATGAAAATTGACGACGGCGTTGGTCGTTGACGAAACATCAACCGTGTTAACGTGGTGCAAAAACAGCAAAAACAAAACAAGAAAAAAAAAACGAACATGGAATAAAACAATTCTTCTGTAAAATAAAATAAGATAAATACTAAGCGTGGGTAGTGAAAACTCTCCCCGAGGTGGTGTGCGGCCACGGGCGAAATCATATCTTAACTGTGTAAAAAAATATTTATTTATTATTATTTTATTTTACAACTAAAACACGACGAAGAATACGCTTCACGGACTTGGTCGACATTTTTTTTTTTAATCTCACACTCGAAAAATTATCTTCGGTTATGTATAGCTCTGTATGTTTGACAAACAAAATGTCTTTTTTCTATAGAATATTATTGTGATGTACATGTTACCGGAAACGTATTATATACAGCTGTTATGAGTCACAAATATTTAGTATCACGGTCCATAAACGGAGGTGTTAATAACACAGCACTACTTATACCTAGCCATTTTATGGAACATAACTTTAAGTAAGTAGGTAGGATATGTATTGTCTGTATGATTTAAATTTATTTATACATATACTTTAGTAAACCAATTTATTAATAACAATATTTGTTGAAAATATTTTATCAGAAAGATAAGTTGTTTACCTGTTGAGTAATGTCTCGTCCGATACAATATGGCAACCACGGATCTACCAGTTATATACTTGTATTTTTTGACGGATCTGTTAACTGTTTTTTGCATTTTATCAACCGTGTATAATTAGAATCATTAAAAGCCGCATTGGCGTCCACAGAGGGGGGGGGGCATTGCCCGTATTATTATAACTTAAAAAAAAAAATTTTATCTCGACAGAGCATCGAGATAATTAAAAAATATATTGTTGCAGAATGTACCTATACGGTACATTAAGTATATAGCAGCATCTACAATGGCACAACAGCAATTGTACGCGCAGCACAATAATCGCCTGAAGAATTTTTTAGTACTTTTCCAAAATGATCGGCTCTTATAGGTTTGCCCCTGTTCATGGTCACCACCTGGTGCGTTATTGCTGCATCTGTATCCTGCAGTTTCACACAGGTGACCGGAATCGCTACATTGAGTTCGGTCATTGTCTTCAACTTCATTGTTACTAGTCGTGGTGGACGGCACTTGGATTCCCGTTTCGGGTGTCATAAACATAATATTTGGCATGGAAAAATAGACTTTGGTCAGTCGACTTGCAGCGTAATAGCTCGCACGACTCTTGGCCACGTCCAAGTCCATGTCGTTCAATGTAATTATTGAAGACATGCTAAAAGATCGGCTCCTAGGTTTGACCGTGTTCATAGTTACCACCTGGTCCGTTATTGCTGCATCTGTATCCTGCAGTTTCACACAAGTGACCGTCACCTCTACATTGAGTTCGGGTAGTGTTTTCGACTTAGTTGAGACTGTCGTGGCAGACGGCGCATGCATTTTGTTTCAGCAGTTACAGGTGTCATTAACATTATATTTGGCATCGAAAAATACGACCTGGTCAATGGACTTGCCGCGTAATAGCAGTCCGCACGTCCGTTGTTCGAATTCATGGGATTTATTGTAATTGAAGACCAGAAGACATCATAGTACGCAAATTATATTAAATTATAATTGATTCGTTACACAGATAATAAGTAATAACTCGTGATTAAAGACAAATAAATTATATTTTAATACTACCTCACAATTTCCTTGCAGGATACGACATTTTATATGCTTACTGTTTTATTTAGTTACTTTTATTTAATACAATTAAATTGCGTTATTATAATGTTCTACAATTTATTATAATTAAGTATTTCACAACAACTAATGAATAATGAATAACATTTTTATTTTTCTTAAATTAATGTGGTTCTTATCACATATATGATAATAATGAATATAATGTAGTGTTATCACTACCAATAAGTATAGTAGTATACAACACTTACTATGTCTGGAATACATTTTAATTCAAATTGAGCCAGTTAACTAAATACGAGAATATACAGAGGGATTTACCAGCTACTACTCACCCTCATTTTTTCCTTTAATAATAAATGTATTCAAATTATAATTTTGAACATGCTCATAGACCATATTATTTTAAATTGTATAGATTTCTATACCATTTAAGAAGTGCCCCGTCGTGATACACACTTCTTTTTTAAAATTATTGGTATCATGCGAATTTTGTATTTTATCTGTATTACCTATTAATTCTTAGTAATATTGTCGTTATCAATAGTATAACTATTAGTACTAATACTAGTATTAACTAGTATTTATGTGACGGTGTAGTTATTAAATTATTTATTTATTCTTGTATTTTGGGCATTATTGTACAAACTATAGATAAAGTATCAAACAATGAATTCCATTTAAACCTGAAAGTGTTAACGTATCAAATGTTTGGAAGTTTTAAGTAGTAATATTTATTGGAAGTATTCGAAAAAAAAAACCAGAACAAAGTAACTAGGATAAAAAACGTGTTGAATTCAAATTTTATAGAAAAATCTGGTTGATACGTTTTTTATCCTAGTTACTTTGTTCTGGTTTTTTTTTTCGAATACTTCCACTAAATATTACTATTTAAAACTTCCAAACATTTGATACGTTAACACTTTCAGGTTTAAATGGAATTCATTGTTTGATACATTGTATGTCTTTAGTTTAACATACCAGTGACCACGAGTTTCACATTTTTGAAGAAAACTTAAACGGAACATTGCATTTATACAACGTACTGGTCTCCCACAAACATTTAATGTAGATTTGACGAGTATATACGTCCCGCGCTACACAACAATTTAGTGAAGGTTGTCTTTAACAATATCAAAGGCTTCCATTAAGTGATGTTATATAATAATATATAATATATTGTTTCTTTATTATATTATAGTTGATGTAAAGACAAAAGTTTCAAAAAATTCTAATTTATATTATGTAGAGGTGGGATTCATTTTCTTATGTGTCTTATCCGTACATTTTTTTTACGATGTTTTCACTAAGATTGCATTAAAAATATCAGTTGTAAGTAAATAATTGCTATTGGAATAATTTTTAGTGAAAAAATTGACAGTTATATATTACAGTTATGTATTATATTATATTTACCCATACTGCCTGTTGTCATACTTGTTGTTAAAGGTAATATCTGAAATACTTTTTTTTTTGGACATTTTTGAAATTTTTGTTTTTTTTTTACGTTCAGTCTTGATTAAAAAACACAAATTGTTAGTATTAACTTGAAACAACTTTGTAAATTTTTAGATGTGCCAATTATTAAAAATGATTGACTACGAAAAATTATAATAACAGTTTCAAGTTGAAAATAGTTTAAATTAGCTCTCCTGAACAATTTGATATTTTGAGGTAGCGCCTTTTGGTTCTGAGCCCAAAAATGTATTTATTTTACTTATTTGGTTTATTTTTAAACTTAAGTTATTTTTGCTTATTAAAAACTGTCCGTAGTACCTCCGCTGGGAGGCCTCTACATTCGGGATAATCTGTCATTTATTTTTATTTTATTTTATTTTTTACTTTCATCATCAATTGTTCTTATTGTTCATGTATTGAAACAGATTGAATAAAATATTTTAATTACAAAAAAAAAAAACTGTCCGTACGAGTAATTACATATAACAGAAATAAAATTGATAAAGATACTAACTATTAACTAACGTGAACACTGTAACAGTATAATAGTTATAGTACGTAGGGTATGTATAGGTTAAAATAAAAACAGCAATTTCTAATCATTAAATGGACGCCACACCGCATGTGTTGTCTCCGTCTTACACACATACAACATAGAAAAAACTCGTTTAAACAGTGTGGGTAGAACTCGCTCAATTTTGATTAAAGTGTAAAAATACCTATCTTAAAATAAAAAGATGACAATATTTCGAAGAGCAAGACGGTGCTTTTTTTCATTAATCCGAATATAACGCTCAATATATTGTTTAGAAATAACGAACATTTCAACAGTTTTAAACGACCTATAACTTTTTAAAAAATATTTTATTTTGCACAACGAAATATTCTCATTCTTCAATTTCATAATAAGTATTTTTATTCTAAAACTAAAATCGAGAGAGTTCTACTCAGACTGCGTAAAAGAGTTTTGTCTATGTTGTACGTGTGTAAGGCGAAGAAAACACATGCGGGTGTGGAGGGGTCTTAAAAGGAATTGTTCATCAAAGTACTAATAAATAAAATATATATTAATTTTAATATAAATAGTCTTAACGGTGTACCTACGCCATATGGTCATCGTCGTTCATCATGACATAAGATTAATTATACCGAGGTTACTTATCGTAGGTATTTGTAATCGGCTAATTAGGCAAAATTAAATATTGCCACATAAGTCATTTTTCAAAGTTGTTTTGGTTATTTTCCGTCGATAAAACTAAATATAGTTATTAAACAAACATTTGGAAAAATAATCTTAAATTACCTAGTCTGAATAAACGTATAGTCTTTAACGTTAAAATAGTGTTTATCATATAGAAAATAAACTTTAATATTGTTTAATTCTATAGATCTTATTATCAAAACAAATCATGCTTACCTACACATTTTAAACTTTCGTTTAAAAGCTTCAACTCAAATCAAACATGTCATTATAAATTATTACTACAATCTAAAAAGTAAAAATCCAACATCCCTCGTGTGCGTCTTTTTAATCTCGATTCGCCGGTTATTGAGAAATATATAAATACGCTCTGTCATTAAATAGGCAACAATATATATTGTATTGTATGAGGCCTCTGAATGCATTTACCGTAAAACAATGGATATTACACCAGGATCCGGGTTATGCGCAAAGTTGCTGTGAATGAAAGATACGTTGCGAGCGTTCGGTAAATAAATTAGCGAAGATACGTTGCCGGTGTACATTTTGCGTACCGTATCAACCGCATACAGAATTTGTCTGATTACAGTTTTAAAGATTTCGTATCATTCGCATCGCGTAATCTTATGATATTAATAATCCGCCTGGTTCGTGATTGCCACAACCTGCAACGTGTACGAGAAACGGTTCATTACGTTTTGTTGCGCTCGTAATATAGAAGTTAATTCAACGTCTAACGAATTATTTGGTATTTGGATGCCAGTGATCCCGCCCTATTCCGTTGTAAGTTTATCGTTCGCTTAGTGGCATTTCTATCTGCTAATCTGACGAGAACCATAATAATTATATACTTCAATAGAACACACTAGAGGCCATGCCTTTTGCGAAATTTCATTTAAATCCAACTTACTATTAAATATCTGGGTGTGGAAATGTGTTCAAACATGAAATGGAATGAACGATTCAATAACACAAAAGACTAGAAAAATGGTTTATATCTAAAAAGTAAGAAAGATTTAAAGTTTGTTTACTTGGCACTACTACAGATGGAACCCATTTTTTTCATATGGAATATAGGCTGGGTAAGTTCTTATGATAACGTTCTCCCTCGGTTGCAAACCAATCAAATTACATTAATTAAGATCACCAGGTGGTACCAGGTTTGCTAAAAATAATTATACAATACACTGGCCTCATAAAACGGGCTCACGAAAGCAATATGAATTTGTCGGTACAAAGATTCTAAATTGAATACCAAAACACCTACTCACATTACCACTATATAAGTTTAAAAGAGCTCTTAGGTAGGAATTGTTTGTTTAAAAATATTATAATAACATTATACTAATATTATTCGTGATTATAATATTAGTATAACATTATTATAATAATATTATCATTACAAAATTCTACTAGACTTTACGAAATGGCTTCTTCCTGGATTTAACACTGATTTGTTATTATAAAAGCCCTATCATATTGTGTTATGACCATTATTATTTCTACTATTGATTTATATTTAATTTTTGACGTTTCAAGTTTATATTTAATCTTTTTTTACATTTAGTTTTATTAGTCAGTAAATGTACATTTTTCTTTATATTACATAATTAATAATTTTTAAGCACTATACGGATGAATCCTTAATAATTATGCTCATGTTTGTATTATAATAACCCTTGAGTCTTCACATGAAGCGCAGTATTTTTTTTTTTTTTAAATAAATTAATAATAACAAAAATAATCATGATAATAATACTATAAGTTCTCACACGATTTCAAACTATTTAACTATGTATTTGGAAACATATTTTTTCGATGTTTTTCATAACTTAGGTATGTTGCAAATTATTAATACTATATTGTATATATTATGTTTGCCGGCGCAATGTATAGGCATTTTCGTTACATTGAATTGTGGCAGGTGGTTTTTTAACGGTATCCTATACTAGTTTTGATATCGGACTAATGAATACAACTTGTCAACTACCCGTGTACACGATTAAATAAATTGGTGAACAGTGAATGACCTCAAACTCACAGATTCCGAATAGGGTGACAATGAAGTGACTGTTTGACTACTGCAGTACTTAAGCTTTAATAATTAATACATTGTTGTATAAACGTTGTTGCTGTATCTACAAAAAAAAAAAACAATTTGAACGTTGAATGATTTTTTATAATGAGCGGATAAAAATATTTTAGTGTATTAATAAAATTTAAAAAAAATCTAAGTTTCTTATGCCCCAGACATGTTTAACGAAACATTGAAAAAATCAATTTTTGCATCTCCAGTATTTCTTGGAACGATATTTGATAAATTACTATTGACGAAAAAATACATTATTTTTATGGAGTGATTTACTTTGTATTAACATTATAAACAAAGGTTCCTTAATGGTCATATCTTAATTGAAAACATTCATCGATAAAAAAAAACTAATCATTTATTATGAACAACCATAAATGAATAATAACATGTGGATTATGTATTAAAATTAATAAAATATCGATAGTCAACTGGATGTATAATTATTTCATTTACGAACATGTGTATTGATAACTAATAATTAATTAGTCTAAATAAGCTATGTTATCGCATTGCACATTGCAGAATAGCGTTTGGTTTAAAAATTGTACATTTTTTATTAGATCATAAAATAAAGAAATCGCATGGATTATTTATACGAATAGATTTTTATTTCTATTTGTAGGTACATCATATTTTATGTCCAATAAATGTTCGTAAGTAAGTTTAATGAAACGTGTAATGAGTAAATGGTGTATATTATGTTGCAGGTCAAATGCACGAACCAGACGAAATAATGCCTGAATTTTATGCGCCACTGGAAAATTGGACGGTGACCCAAGGCCGAGACATATACTTTACGTGCACGGTGAACAATTTGGGAAAGTACAAGGTAATAAATAATCGATCAATAAGCAATAATAAACTGTATCCAATGGATAATGTATTTTCAGTGTATTTATTGTAACAACTTAATCAGTACCATGAAAATTATTTTATAAAGTTATAATTAGCCACCCCTTGACAATAAACCCTGACAAATAAAAAAAAATTAATAAAACAATAAAAAATGTGGGCATATATGTACCAAATTGCTGTACATTAGGTGTCTTGTGGGTCACTGTAATGTATGTGTTAAATTTGAATTAAATAATAACGCTTGTATCCGAAAAACGATTCTGATCGGAGTCGGTCTGTCAGCATATATTACTAAGAAAAAAGAATATTGAATGATATTATTGCTGCTCGAGTAACTTATATTACTATTCGACATTAGTAATACAGTATAGGTTGATTTAATTTTTTCCAAAAAAAAGGTTTATTTGAAAATATCATTGCGTGTATAAAAAATAATAATATGCTTTAAAAGTTTCAAGTGCAGACGGATAATATTTTTAAATAATGACAAAAATATTCTTCGTATAAAAATCTAATTTCCTCCAATTTTGAACTTAAAATAATATATTTAAAAAAAACTTGTGATTAAATATTTTTTTAGATTTGTTGGTAACAGCAGGAATACTTATGGCAAATCTTTTTTTTAATTTTCAATCATTCCTATACAAATTGAACATTATTAATTTTTAATTAGGTATCTAATCTATAGCTATAAAATGATTTTCAGTTATTTTTGATTTTGATGAATTTCGTCTACATTTTAACTTCAAATGTTTATTAAAAATAAATCGTGTCTATGAATATTTAATATTTTTAAACTTCTATTACGAATTATGAAGAACCTTATAGCATTACATTTTAAAGATTTTTGATCCAGCAAAAATGTTTTATTGATATTTATAGAAAAAAAAATTATAAAAATGTAAAATGTCTTATTCCTATAAATATTAAATAGTAGAAAATGTAAGTATTTTTACTGCCTCAAAGATGATGACAGACACAAAAACAAAAATAAAAATAAAACCAACCCATAATTGGAAAATCAATACATTCATCGCTCCGTACAAACTTTCTTGAATATCGACGGTACCAGTGGTTCTGTCTGCAGTGTAAACAACACATTTTTACTTATAATAATCTAATTCTTACAAGTAACCATCGTCTTGCGTACGCGTGTGGGTTAAAGAAGAAATGTCCGCCCCTACGACCGTCGGCGCCACGTGCGGTAGGTGTTAAAGCGTGTTTTTCCGCCAATTTTACGTCTCATTTCACCTCGAAAAATGCCCAAAACAATTGCCGATATTTTTATTGACAGCTGCTCTAAAAATGACTTTTGATATTGACTAATGATATACAAAAGCTTGAAAAATATTTTAGTACAAGTGCCGAAAACCGGTCGGAGCACGGTAAGATTAATTGAGGAGAAAATAATTATTTATAGTGTTCTTAAAAAAAAAAAAAAAAAGAGATTTTCTTGCTGTTTTTCTCAATCAGAGTACCTATATTGTTTAATATTTAAATTGGAGTCATTATTTTTACGTATTACGTTTTTTAATAGATGCTATATAATAATGATTTCTTCGTCCATAGCTCAATTGATTTGACCACAAATAACAAAGTAAGTACTAAGTTCTATAGTGTCGGTTAACCTTACACGATTGGTCCACATCTTACTGTTTCTACAAAAATAATTTTACAAACAATTTCACTCAATTGTTTCGTCGGACTAAAAGTAGACAAACGAGTTTTTGTATTTTGAGTTTCCTTATTATTGTTCAACTGCATTCGACTTAAGAACGATAGTAAATATCTTATATTTCGTACTCAGAAACGTTAACCATGAATATAAATTTCAAAATAGTTTTTATTTTTCATGATTATTATATTATAATTGGTTCAGATGAAGTTACTTGATAATATAATAGTTTAGAAAAGGTCTTATACATCAAATAATAGCTGTTGTCACTCTTCATTTGGTTACCTTTATTCATCTCCAAATTTCAATTCTCACTCACTCATCCTATAACTGTGAGACACAAAATATTATGGTGACCACTTGGTGTTTTTCATCACTTCGTGTACTTATACACTATACACATAGTTTCACAACTTATGTCATGAACGTTAGTTAAAAATTCGAACTTAGATAGGTACAAAAGTTTAATGGATAAAACAATATAATAATTATTGAAGAATTTCGTCAAAGTATTTGGAAATGTAACATAGTCTTATGTAGGATGATAATAATATATGTGACCATACTGATATATTATTTTCGTACACTCTGAATCGCTGTTTTCTGTCTAAACGTATAATAATGCTGCGCTTCTGTGTGCTGCCATGGACGAATGTGTGTTAATTAAACTTTCTAATGGAAATTCCATATAAAAGCGTTCCGGACGAGATGCGCATGTGCTGTTGACACAGATCGGGAGGTGGGTACATCTCAATATAATATGGATAGAATACTTATAATTGAATATATGGGCGCGTTTGGACAAAAAGTCGGATCGTCCCTACGGTATATATATAAATATAATATAAATAGATACACACAAAATTCCTTATTTTCCATGAACTGATTGTGTGAACAGAACCCATCTGCTATTATTTTAAAACTATTCTAAACAAAAAAAAAAAATACTTTAGAAAAACCAAAGTGACATCACAGAACTATACAATACAAATATTGATATAATATGCGTGTATTCGTATGATTTATTATTGTATAATATTTACTGAACGTATTTTTTCTTAAAAATATTATCTGTTGTATGAAATTATTGTAACCAATGTTTATTTGAGTGAATACTTAAGTAGGTAGGTACTTTGAAATTTCCAATCTTTTGGGACTAATCTTTACCCGATTTATAAACATGGGGTTGATCATAGTCTTCTGACTATCACAGGCCGATATCGAGTGAATCTCTCATTGTTTTCAACCACACCGCATGAGTATAGAACGTAATAATAATAATAACAATAATAATATTAATGATAATAATAATAATAATAACAATAACAACAACAATAATAATAATAATAATAATAATAATAATAACAATAATAATATTATATACACCGGGTGTGCTCGGGGATTCGATCGAATAAGTTGCGTGCCGAATTCCGGTTCAACTGTCAACCACGCGCGTCCCCCACGCAACTAGGGGAAAACTCCGTGGGCGATCTTAACAAATCCAATAATAAAAACCCCAAGGTACCCGATGTATAAGTGTGTGTGTGTGTGTGTGTGTGTGTGAACAGCATCCTCCGATGGAAAGGAGAATTGGCGTGTATTGGCGCTTGATTGGGTTCTTTGTCTGCAACGTGTTTTATACGCGTGGTTCGTTATAATAACATTATTATCGGGCGGCGCCGAATAATATTATATAATAATAATATCATAGACCCTCGATCTCGGATCAACTTAAAAACGTCACGCGCCCTTCTATCCTTGTGGTCGTCCATCGTCCATACCACCGAAGATATTTCTTCCCGATATGTTATTTTATTTAACAACATATTATTTATTTCTTTTTGCGGAGGTCACGTACCGCGTTCGCAGACCCGCAATAATAAGGGACGCGCCAGTGTGTCTCGTTTTTCCGGGTTTTCATCAGAGCGTATAACTTTATTACACTATTATATACGTATATAAATATGTGAAACTCAAGTATATCTGCTCGCGCTTATCTTGTCGTCGCGTTTTACCTTGACGTGGATGAGTTTTTTTAAGTTATTCCATTTCGAGATTTTTTGATTCAATTTTTTTTTTTACTTTTACTAGGTACCCAACAAAAATTCAATATATTATTATAATTATCAATGACAATATTATATTTTACGTCGTAATTTTACAAAACCACATTCAAAGTTGAAAATTGAATAATTTTTACTTTTCCAAATCAGTGACTGACACACAAAATAAATATATTTAAAATATGTTGATCTTCTAATACATCACACTTCTGCTCCAGGATAAAATAATTATGAAGTTGTTTTTTTTTAAATTTTATTATTTTATTATATAGGTGGCTTGGATAAAATCGGACTCTAAAGCAATTTTAGCAATCCACACGAACTTGATTGCTCACAATCACAGACTGACCGTCACCCACAATGGACACAATACTTGGAAATTGAATGTGATCAATGTTCAAAAAAACGATACTGGAAGTTACATGTGCCAAATAAATACGCAACCGATGATACTACAGGTTTGAAGAAAATTTATATTTGTATGTAATAAGCTAACAAAAAAGAATCTGTCAAGTTTAAGATTTCCATTTCTCTGGCACTTGTTTTTGCTTTCACTATCTCGGCGCCAAATAGTTGGTATTATGATTTAAAATTTAGTTAGGTAGTCCAAAATGTGTCAAGCTTTTGTTTAAATTTCACTGTTTACTCACAGTTTTTAAATGCACTATTTATATATTGACTATCAGAGAGTTTGAAAAATAATATCCCTATATAACAGCTGCTATCTTTTCTATAAAGTTAAATTTCCTTTCATCTTATATAGAGCACTATAAGTCGATGTGTATCACTATTATCAATTAAAATATATTAATAAATTATCTAGCCACAATTGCCACATCTTATTTTTTTGTTCGCCATTAATTGTTACTTGTGAAATAACATGACGTGCTGTCGTTGACGAGGAGTAGGTACTTTACAAAATTTAATTATTTAAAATATTTTACATGGGACTGTCTATTTAAAATTAAACTTGACTAGTTTTTCTAATTTATATTGTAGGTACACGCCTAACGCCTACAATCTACATTACGAATTGTACAAATATGAATTACAAAACAGTTACGTAGTCGACTTTTAATTCAATTCTTTTTAATAACAGTATATTCATTGTACTCAGAACAAAAATGTTCGTCTAGTCATTTTCACCCAGTAATGTCAACTTGTTTTTCTGACGTGCTATTTAATGTAAAGTATAAGTTTATATTTATATAGATTATGTAGATTGAAGGTAGCTCGTAAAGATTTTTTAAACATATGTTTATTATATATTATGTTTTTGGGCTGCTTACAGCTATTTTATTTTTCTAACGTTTTCGTTTTCATAGTTACTTATTAACAAAAACATTTATATGATTCATAGATTTTCTTTGTAGAGGAAAAATATCGAGTAGCGTGCTATGGTTTATTTTTACATGATGCAACGCTAAGCCGCTAACCTCGCTGCTGTGTTTAGAATCATTGCCATTGTAATATGATTGCAAGTTAAAAAAAGGTGGGCAAGTGGATGTATCTCTGCTGTACAGTAGGTTACAAGTGGGTCACTGTATAATGGATGGTATTACATTTGAATTCAATGATATTATATCATTGTATAAGAAAAACTACTCTGAGCGGAGACGGTATATCCTTCTAGGTATAAGACATATTATATACTTATCTATGGTATTAAAAAAAAATTGACCTGTAATGAATTCCAAATTAATCATATCACAATATCCATTAGGTACTTATAACGGGTTATACACCAACAACAAACCATGATACTATCATAGATTTATATTAGTATACTTTAGAAGTTTCAAGTACCCACGAATAATATTATACAATCACAACAAAATAACTGAAATAGTTATTCTAGGTTTTTTATTATGTAATTTCGTCCAAATATGAATTTAAAATGTCTGTAAAATATAACTGTGTTCATATATTTTTTAGATTTTTTGGTTACAGTATGAACTATTTATGAGAACCTTTGTTTTAAATTTGCAATCCTTAGCTATAAAAAGTGAACATTTTATAATTTATTATAAAGGAAATGCTAATATGAACATTCAGTGAAATTTTCATGTATCTATAGTTATTCGTTTTTGAATTACAACAAAATAAGGAAATCGCTACATGAGAAATCGAGTGAATATCCAATGTTGTAAACATTTGAATTTCAAACTCTCATAAAAATTTAATTTGACTTTCCGGTAGAGATTTTTTTATTGATAAAGGTAGACAAACTTATGAGTAATCTTGTATTACATTTTCAAATCTTAGATTTAAAAAGAAAAATTTTTACGAATTCTTAACTCAAAATAATTTGCTAATTTTCGTGATTTTTCCATATTTTGTCAATTTTTGAACTTTAAATGCTTATAAAAAAAAACTGTGACTAACGATTTTTAATATTTTTCATCTGCCTTTGAAACAATATACTAGGAGCCTTCTATTAAATTTTCAAGCTTTCGAAACCAACAAATAAAATTTGATTGATATTTTTAGAATAAAAACTAAAAAAAAATGGAAAATGAAAATATAATATCTAAACAGTTCAAAATAAATCATAATATTTAAAAAATTTTTATCGTGTATAGAAAATGCAAATATAAACAACCAGTGAAAATTTCATGTATATACGTTCATTTGTTTTAGAGTTACACCCAAAACCAAAATCAATTTTTTGGAAAACAGATTTTGCGTAAAAATTCCCCTTTATTATTCCTTAACTTTTATGTGTTTAATCCCGGCGCTTGTGAAAACTATTGTGAATTTTAAATTTAACCTCCCAAAACCACCAACGAGATTCACTTTCCAATTGAACAAGATACTGAAGTTGAAAATCGAAGCATTATTTCGACTACTTATCGTGTACACAGATACAAAAATAAAAATAAAAATTTAAAAAAAAAACACACATCATTGTAAAATCAATACATACATCGTTCCACTCAGAATCTAAAATTATGTGCAGATAAATTTAGTATCTTGGCGTTATATGATAGAAAATTATTCATCGTATAAGTATTTAATAAAATAAAATTTATCTTTAAATGTTTATGTTAAAATAAGCCACAATTATAATGCCATCTAATTTAATATTATATTATTTAAACAGCATTTACATAAGTTTAAAATTGTAGATCATCTTATTCAGATATTTTATGATTACCTAACTGATTTTATGATCTTAACACGGCTAAAATATATCAGTCATTATATTTATAATTGTTTTTAACTTTTTCGCTTAAATTGTATGAAAAATCCTTATAAATATAACATTATTATTATTTTATTTTTAATCCAAAGAATAACAATAACTTTTATAATTAATAATTATATTTAGAACCATAAACCCTTTGAACAATTATTTGAGTTCGCATACAAATTGTGTTTCTTTTTCTGCCGATTTACATACAAAAATGCGATAATTTTAACATATTTTACTAAAAGTTTTGTAAAGTTAAAATAAGCGCAAAACTAGTTATGCCATTTAAATATTTATATCCTGGAGATCTTCTATAATAAATACTAGAGGATCGTATCAAAAATTCTCACAAAATGTATAACAATTAATATATAAATATCGAATCAAAATATATATTATCTAGACACGCGGTAGCGTGTCAAGCCAAGTTCTAGCTAACAGAACTGGCGAGCAGCACCGTGTGTAATATTACACGAACCATTTGGAGCCACTTTTGACCCCCTCATAACTCAAAAACTATTCCACATAAACATGTAAAATTTGGCTCATATATTGAGACTAACGAGATACATATGTGCTCTAAATTTCATAAACACACTTCAAACCGTTATTTAGATATTAACGTCCGAAAATCGTCATTTTTATCACTGAATTACCTATAGATCAAAATTCTAACCCAGTTCCAGATGACCTAGAAAGTTCAAATTTGGCATACAGATAGGTAGTTAGGTAAATACAAAGGAAAAAATCAGAAACTTGAAATTTTTTAATTTTTAATTTTTAGTTTTTTAATTTTTAATTTTTTAATCAATTGATTTTATTATAATTTTGCAATTATTTTATCTATTGTGTTTAATTTTTCAATTTATTAATGAATTGCCTCTAGTTTAATGTAATGTTGACTTAAATAACCTTTCCCGTATCGCCGCTCCAAAAATACGACTAGCCGAATATGTGTCGATATTGTCGACCCGTGCGCAGCAACATACTTTTTTTTCTATCTATGTATGTAATTAATATTATTTTTTTTAAATATTACAATTAAAATAATTAAATAATTATTCTTACAAATTATGAATTATCCACCCAACAGTAGAAACTACAGTCAATAAAATTATGATAATTAAAAATATACTCAAAAAGAGTTAAAATAATTGTATATTAATTTTACATATATTTTATACTCTGTATATAAAACGGAAAATATTTTATAATAAATATTATTATTAATATTAGTAACTGAATTATATTATATAGTAATAAACTTTATTTATAGAATACCTACGTCATGGCTAGGTTAGGTTAGGTTATAATAATTTACATACAAAAAGTAATGATATCCCACCAAAAACATATATGTAAAATGAGAGCCAAGTTCAATACTATAATATATGCCTTAGTTGTTGACTTCAACGACAAAAGAAGTGAGATCTAAATGGGTGCCAAGTTAGGATAATATATTGAAGCCTAAGGTCTGACTTGGCTACGAATTATATATTATAGCATTTGCAAGTTCTAAAGCTTTGAGTTCTTATTTTATTCTTCGGAAAATCATCTTCACTCTTCTATTACTGTTTTAGTAGGTACTTATAATAATAATTCGTATATGAAAAGTAGCCAAGTCACACCTTAGGCTTCAATATATTATCCTAACTTGGCACCCATTTAGATCTCACTTCTTTTGTCGTTGAAGTCAACAACTAAGGCATATATTATAGTATTGAACTTGGCTCTCATTTTACATATATGTTTTTGGTGGGATATACATTATACATAAGTATTAGCTATTTTCCTCAACTTCACTCGTATATCAGTATAGTTTTGCAGTTCTTTTTATAATGAGCAATGAAGCTAGTTTAAGCTAAGTGTTAATTTAATTAATAGTGTCGCAGAAAATAAATACCAAGTTTCAAGTAAATTTTACAGTAAAAATATTATTTACTATACTAATTGTGCACCCCTTGCCACCCCCTTATCAGTTGAATTTCTAAAAAACCATTTTTAATGATGTCTACAATATAAAATTAACAACCTCTTTAAATTTAAAATATCTATCACATAGTTGACTTTCAATGACATTAAAGTGATTAAAGTGGTTATTTAGTCTCACTCCCTTAGGAGTTCTTAGAATTAAATTTCATCAAAATCGGTTCAGCGACTTAGCCATAAAAACGTAATAGACGGACAGTGTTACTTTCGAATTTATATTATTTAAGTATTGATAATATGAATTAGTATAGATTATATATATTTGTTATAGGCTATAGCTAT